CTTTTGCTACAATGTAGCGGCCGATAGCGGCCGCACTTTCTCCCCCGCTACACTGTAGCCGCGCGCAAAAGGAAAGAAAGAAATACCCCCTTGGCCTCGGAATTGTATCCCTTGGCTAACTTCCCCTCCTCTTGCTTTAAAGGAGGATTGTCTTGCTTTCTCCCACAATTTAGTCCTGAGGGGACCCTTTAAAGAAAAGGAAGCCCTCCTTTTCACCTTATCTGTTCAAGCCCTAAAAGGGTCTCTAAGCGGAAATAAAGGAAGCAAAATGAATCCAGCTCATATTAGCCTTCCATCCACGAAAAACTACGGGCCTGCCCCGCGGGAATCAGGGGCGCGCCGAGATCCCTGGTCTTTCGTGGAGGTAACGCGTCCCCAGCTTGGGAACCGGGGTTTGCAGGTGTCCCCCCATCCTCGCCCCTTTCACCTCGGGCTTGGCCTGCGAAACCCCGCCAAGGGGGATGCACATGGAGGAACCTCGCCTCGCTTTGTCTCGGCCAGTTTCCGCATCTCCTTCCCTCCCCGACCGTCGGACCGTTAGGAGATTCCCTTTAAGTAAAACCTTACAGAACCTCGGTCTTCCAGTCCCTCAAACCTCAAGGGTGCTTTTGATAGCTTCCCCAAAATGATTCTGGAAAAAAAAATCCCCTTTTTCCAAAAGAAAATTCTACTGCAAATGTGTATTATGCATATAAAATTTCCTTTTGGCAAAGGTTGGCTAAGGCTGGAGACGGCAAACAGCCCACAACCACTCTGCATAGTTTATCTGGATTCTTTTCTTCTCAAAAAGAAATAGAGTAAAAAGAGGTTTAAAATCCTTACCTTGGCACCAATCTGGTTGCCACACTGACCCGCCTGGATGTGCACGATCTCCCTCATGGTTCAAATTTTAAAATTTTGCCCGCTTCAAAAGTGTGTATGGGGCAAGAAAATCTCTAATCTTTTCTCCGCTGCTCAAGGCGGTAGGATGGGACGTGGCCGGAGGCTGGAGCAGCGAGTCCGCACGCCGCGGCTGGCAGGCTGCGAGAGGCAGAAAG